AGACTGCTGAGCAAGGGAGGTGAGGTAGAGTATTTAGGTTTTGCTCTATGAATCTAATAACATATTTCAAGGTGCACCACAGGTTCCATTTTTGAGGACTTCTGTTAAACATACTACTACAGTTAAGTATCGGTTGAATTGGTATTTGGAACATTTAAGCTCTTTCTTTCTCTGGCCTGAGTTTTATTCAGCTCCAACACCTGAGATGCAGAAATGAGTTTATTGAAATGATTTCAGGCATTTGGATTGTTTATACTAAATTCCTCCAGCTTCCAGTTGCTGGAACTGTTGATAATGAGTAAGTCAAGGAAAATAGAGATGCTAAAAAGAAGATAACTCTCTTTAGTGAGTAGAAAATACCTCTCTCCTTAGAAGCTTGATTAGGTTAGACTGTGGGAATAGATGAGTTAGATTCAAATATCCCATCCTGTTCTCTAAAACACTGTGCTCTACAGTTGCTGCAATTCTGCTTTGTCAGTCTTGAAAATCCATTGTTGATATGCTTTGACTTTGTTAGGCTTTGTCTTTGAAGAAGTTTATAATAGACACTGCATATCCATTATGCTCTTACAAAGAGGAGGATCTTTGTACATCTCAACAGTCTGCTACTACAGAAGCGTTCGAATCCTGAATACATCCAAAGCTGGGGATTATTCTTCCGTTTTCCTCTGTCTTGTCTCATGGTTGGCATAGTTGTGATAAGATTCTCAACAGTTGAGGCAACCCATCAGCTTTCTACTCTCAGTTTAAAATTTCAGCTTCTCAAGGTAGAATTAGTAAACTTTTGCTATAAACCTAGTTCCTAATTAAACTTTGTAGAAATCGCTTATGGCTAGCAGGATATAAAGAGGTACTAAACTTTTTTTCTATACAGAAAAACAAACTGAGTTTGTAATTCTAATTTGCCTTACACTTCTAGTCAGATTCAAGTTTGATGTGTGTATTTAAATTCTAGGAAATAGCGTGTGATTCTAAGTGAAAAGTTACTCTAGAAAGACATGCCTAAATTTTGTTTTCTTTAAGTCAGTGTTATTTTTATGCGCTTGCCAGTATTGTATTGTCACTGTGGGTGTGGGTAGTGGGAAGCAGGCAGTCATGCTGCAGGGTTTTATTATTTCTGGCTGGGAAAGGTGCCCATTTGCCACAACGGCTTCTTTGGTTTTTCACGCCTCCTTTTCCCAGTTTCAAGCCTTGCGACATACTGCTTATCGTGGGTAGGTTCAGCTGTGCTCTCTGCAGAAAGCTGCTTTTGCAGGTCAGGAATACTGTGCCTTGCATGAATGGGTACACGTTTGGACCAAGTCTAATTCACTGAGCTGCAGCACAGGTAGTCAACTCCTCTTCAGCAGCACCAGGGAAAGGGTCTTCAGGCAGTTGCCTTTGCAAAAATGTTGTGAAACTATGTAGGAAGATACATTTTGCTGTAACTAGGTGGAGGAACTTCAGGATTTTCTTGAACAGAGAGGACTGTAACCTCTCCCAAACATTTCTTGCTCCCTCTGAAAACAGTGATAAATCCAGGTATCTTCCATTCTGCCAGCACATTTGCTAGCGTTCTGCATCAGCGATTCCTGAAGCTTGAACAAACCTTATGCATGTCACACGCAAAAACTGGAATCCAAATATTTCTGTTTATTCTGGCAGTACTATCTAGGATGTCTTTTCACTGCGTTTGCAGAACCAGGTGTCCGGCGGAGTCTGCTGTGACACCGAGTAAGCCACATGTATTACTGCCATTCTAGTACTACAAGAGCCAGGGAAGAGGCAGCAGCAGCAGCTGTTACGGGACTGGAGGAGAGCAGGGGTATTGACAGCTTTTACCTGGAGGGAATCAGTGTGTTGCCAATTTATTGATATAATGAGGTTCAGCTAAAAAAGTTTGGAGCCAACCTACAGTCAGCAAGTGACAGGGCAAGCAAGGCACGGCAATTAAAATGGGTCTTTTGAGCTCTGTCTTCAGTAGTTAAAACTTGACACAGAAGAAGAAGTTGTGAAACTAAGTATTAGGTTCAGGTAAAGCTATTGCGTTTGTGGAGCTGGTAAGTACTATAAACGTGTTGCTTCAGTATCTCAGAACATGTAGACAGCAAATAGTGGAAAAGCTTAATTATTCCACTTTATAGACAAAACATTTGACTTAAAAGAGAACATTTTATCACTGCCTTGCAGTCTCTCCTTTCCTCTCCCCCTGCTCTCATACTGCTCACAGGGTAGAATTCTTCTCATCTTGTTTTTAGATGCCTGCACTAGGATGAAACATGCCCTATAAATGCTGAAGTAAAGTAGCTCAGATGCTGACATTTCAATTTAATGAGATAAAATTCATCCAGGGAGTCTATTGCTTACTATGGAGTATAGCTGAGCAAAGCAGGTTTTTCTGCTTATGCCACGCAAGAGTACACTCTCATGTCCTGTTCTTCTGTGTTGTGCAGGACCTGGGTTCTCCAACGATAGAAGAACAAGTTGATCAGCCTACAATAGATGATGAGACTGTGCTTATTGTTCCTTCTTCCCATGGTTTTATCCAGACAACGGATGATATAGACAGTGAATCAGTCTTGCCCCTGACAACTCTAACAGGTACGACAGTCCCTTCATATGGTTGATGCTGGAGCTAGGATTCATTAAAGCAGTATGGCACTTTTGGGTTCCTGTAAACAACGCTTTATAGATCCTTGCTTTCTCTTAAATAATTTTCCATGTCTGCTATGAAACTTTAAGCAAGTTGGTTACCCAACTGGTATCGGTAGAAGTGGAACGAAGTCCCACTTAACCTTGTGGGAAAATCATTAGAACAGCAGCTGCTCCACCACTTGCTGAGCTGTTTCCATCACCCTTGAGCCTTGAATCATTAGGCTAATAGGCTAATAAGTAACTCTTTCTTTAGTGTGCATTTCTTCATGCCTGGTGCTTGAATGAAATTTGTTTCTTTTTTGAGAGAAGACCAGAGGCATCGGAAATGCACTTGATGCCTCTCATGTGAGGGGCTAGGCTGTTTGGGGGTGTGTTTGCACAGCACTCACCTGGAAGGGCTTGCTAGCTTGTGCCACGCTTCCCAATGCCAAGAGTCATCTCAGACTTGGAAGCAGCACAGATATATTCTCCCACTGCTACACCTAACAAATACTCCTTTCCAGAGGAAGGATCTCCTTGCAGAGCCCTCAGAGGGTCAGCACTAGGCCTGATAGAGTAATACCTGATGAATCCAAATGCGAGTCACACCAGTTGCATCTATGTTAGTCATAGCTTACCTTGAAACTACAAATTCAGAACTGCCTAGTTTGAGCAACATTGCTTAAAATTGGTTAAAGTTCCAGACTGCATTTTCTGCCTCCTAAGTGTGTATTTTACATCTTGTTATAATGACAAAGTAAATAATAATTCTGATGTACTGTCTCTTGACAGATCCTATCCTACAGCATCACGGAGACGGGTCACACATTATTGGCTCATCATTGGGCAGTCCTGACTTAGAAGATTCAAAGGATGTTGAAGATTTAGTGAGCTGTCACTGAGAAGCAGTAATGGTGTCCGTTTTCTATTGACCATGTTTGCATTGTGAAATTAGTTACAACCCTGTGCCACATTTCCAAAGAAAGCAGTCAGTCCGTGTCTTTAAACAGAAATTTCCAGTTTGAAATGACTACAGTGCACTTTCTCTGCTCAGGCTATTTACCTCATTTGTGAAGGGTTACAGAGCAGCCAGCCGAAGCCTGATGTACTACGTCTCAGCCGAGGTGTTCAGTGTTTTAAAGGACTTCTGTTGCAGTGCTCACTGCTAGGATCACGTGGTCCATTCTGATCTGACTTGTTACCGGTGTGCTGAACTGCACATCTGGAAAACTGGACAGAAGTCAAGGATTGTGGACTGTAGCCTCTTAGTGCCACAGCAAGAATTAGTTTGCACATGTTTCATGAAGAATGGGTGAGGATTTCTGCACTTACTGACTCTCGTAATACATGGAGTAAGAGACTGTTACATTTCAGGAAGAAATGTATTCCATCAAAGACTTAAGGGAGCACGGGCAGCATCATGAAGAAATGGTCTGTATTCCCATCTCATCTGGCCTGTTAGTACGTCTACAGCATATGAAGAAGACACAGATGCTTATGGGACTTGCCTGGTCTGCTTGGGCCTGAGGAGTCCGTTGCTGGCAATGGACAGAGCTCAGAAAGATCGCTTCTGGAAAATCTTTTTTTTTTTTTTCTATTCATCACTGCAGCAAGCTGAATAAAAAGGGAAGGGCTATGAGAAAGAAAACCTACTGGCACCCACCAGCCTCCCCCCACAAGCTTGTAACTTCTTTGAAGATGGTTGTGAGTAGGCTGGAACATTCGTCTCTCTCGCTGTTTACATGACACTACCAGCCACCTCTCCAGAGGTGATTTATGCAGCAAGTGAGTAGATGGGGGGTGGTGTGGAGGTGGCAAAGTCTCGGAGAAACAGCTCTGTGAGAATTTGGGCATAGGGCCCCGAGGCAAAGGAAGCCTATCAATTCCTACATTCAAGGGTTTGAAACAGACACTAGGCTGAGCAGCAGCCTATTAGCTAGGGATCAAGAGAAAAAGCTATAGAAACTAAAGACTCGTGTATAAATTATTTTATTTATTTCTGTAATTAGCCCTTCATAATCAAGAGTTGGTCTTTTTCAGTCTGTGGTTTTGTTAATGTGAAAAATAAGTTGTAGTTTCAAATGGTTGCCTAGGGAACAGAAATAATTGTATATTCAGTTTAAATGAAATAAAGAGTATTTGTCTTACGTAACTGTAAGATGCCCTTTATTTATACTGCTACAGATCCTTGCAATGCCGCAGTTTATTTGTACAGTAATAAAAAAATGCAGTTTTTTCCAAAATGAAAAAGCTTGTGCCATTCTGAAACATCAGTACAACTGGAATGTTCATTAAGTGCAACAGTAGCTCTTCAAAAAAAAGCAGAATGTCACGTCTTATGGCAATAATTCTCCCCAACAACGAGGGACATTACATATACATTTACATGAAAATCATGTACTGATTTATCCTTGCACAACCCACTCCTTTCCTCTCGGGCTGATTGTCCTCACTTAGATGTCTCGGGCTGAGCTGAAAGCAGTCTGACACAGTAGCATCATCGCTGGGTATTCCCAATGTCCATCATTTACCCACTTCATGGAAGTACAGGTTGGCACATATACATAACATGACGATAGAAAATAAAATATAGTAAATTAGGTTCCTAAATTTAGGTTCCAGGTCTCCTTGTCGATACCAGTAGATCTAGAAGAGAGAAGGAGCTTGCATTACTTAAAAATGCCAGGTACTTCTGAGGAAACATCCTGTAGTCACTGAACTGATAACTTCTAGAAGTTGCGTTTGGTTTTGTTTGGTTTTCCTATAAAACAACCCAGCTTCATCTGACTAGAGAAGACTAGGTGTAGCGTCCAGCTAACTTTCTTAACAATTAAGAAATACCACCTATGTTTTCTTAGCATGCTTGTGGAATACACAAACAAGAATTTGGCAGGTGTTTCTCCCCAAAACAAGGCTGTTTGTGAAACCAGGATGCCAGGTTAGCTATGAAGATGGGTTGTCTTGTCAGCTTTTTTGAAGAGGCTGGGTGGGTGGGTTGGGTTGGTTTTTTTCAACACTCAAAACCGGCTACACTCCGGTCAATGAGGACAAACATAAGGTTTTGCACTGCACAATCTATCTTGGGCAGAGTCATGGCTACCAGCCGTAAAACCAGAAACTGGCACTAATCAGGCAGCACAGAGCACCTTCCCGGCTTACCCAGCAGTGAGGGGCAGGAGCTCAGGGCCGTGACCGTTCCAGGTCACAGTTGGAGGAAGGAGAATGCTGCAAGTATGAAAAGCTGCAGCAGAGGAAGGAGCCACTGATGTCCCTGCCCATGGCAGGGGGGTTGGACTAGATGATCTTTGAAGGTCCATTCCAACCCAAACCATTCTATGTGCTCTGACCTGCCAATTCCCTTTGCCAATGCTCGGGACCAACTCTCTTGGGATGCCGCAACTGTTGAGTAGAGGAACCTCCGCTACAACCCAGATGAAATGCCACCTGCTGTAGCTTCCTGCCACTGTAACTCATCCCTGTGCCTGACTTCCACAAGTGCCTGGCCAGCCCCACCGCTTTGAGTTCAAGTGTTTTGCTCCACCCCTGGTCTTCTGCAGCACAACCCATCTCTGCATTCCCATCTCACTGCTCTGCTCTCCCGTTTCCTACTTTGTCTCCACTGGCAGCTACAGCTGGCATTGTCACAGAGGTGACAAGTCTTGCATCGCAGCTGGTCTGCAGAAGTTGGCTTAGGTCACACGTTTACTCTGCAGTAAATACAAAACTGCTTACCACTCTTGCATTGTCAACTTGTTTTATGGAGGAAAGCGGGAAAGCTTTTCCAGGAGAGTGTAAAAAAGAAGGCGGCACCACGTAAAGCAGATTTTATTCAGATTTCATCCTCAGTCATAGACTCAAAAGCTTGCATGGCCAACATAGCGGTACTTACAAGTATGCCAGCAGAAATGCAACACAAGGAGATGCAGAAAGCAAAAAATATATTCACAGGTTTTGGAGGTAGTTGCGGGAAGACAAAAGCACTGATGAGAGTGACCTGTATGGAGGAAAACAAAGATGAAGACTTTGCTCTCGCCTGCCGTGGGCGCTGCGATGAGAAGAGGCTCGCCCCGACGGCTGGCGTACCGCAGCGCTCGCATCCAGGGCTGCATGCCCCTCCCTGCGCTTTAACTCCCACGCCGGGAAGAGCTGGAGCGAAATGTAAAATTCTGGAGGAAAATTGCTTTGACGCAACTGCAGACTTAGAGGGGTGAAAAAAAAACAAGATTAAAGCTTTGCTACTCTGGCTTGTTGCTGGAAACCATCCTCCAAGTACCCATAAAGCCAGCTGGGGGTGCACGCTGCCCGTGTAGGAGCATCCCTTCAGCCAAGCTTTCCACCAGCTGGCACCTTGGCTGTCCCTGCCGCCTCCCTGCACCTCGGCACGCAAACGATGCTGCCGCCATGGACCGCAGAACTGATGCTCTCCAGTTGTGATGGCGTTGGGTTTGTCTTTAAAGCTTGGGGAAAGCATAACTCAGGACAAAGTGACAAACTGGAAAAATTCCTGCAAGCTATAAATAGAGGAAAATAAATCATAAATAGAAGGAAATAAAGAGAAGCAAACACGTTCTCCTGGGTCATAAGCGCTTTGTCATCTCATCCAGCCTTACGTTCAGCTGGGATGGACAATCTGCCCATGGACTTGGGGCTTTTTATTGCATGGCCAGATCTTAAAAACGTGGCTTGAAGAAAGGTACTCTCCTTCTCCTGTTGTCGAAGCGTTTCAAAAGACAGATGCACCACAAAGTCACTACCTGGGCCCCAAACTACAGCCTGTTCGGTCAGTGAAGTTTCACCGCCCGTTTTGGGGAGGAACTCTGGTTTTCACCCCGTCGCCTAAGGGAGGCACAAAACATGGGATGGGATGGGGGATACTTACTACAAGCAGCAAGGACGTTAAGCCGCCAACAACTAGATTGATGACTCTGTCCTGAAGAAAAGAGAAGACAGTTACACGCACGCCTTGCCAAAAAAACCCAAAAAAACACATAGAACAGACTGGTAACCAACAACGCCGAGAGCACCACATCAGCCAGGAGCCATGTTAGCCCCAGCACACCCAGCAGCACCGTCGACGCTCCCTGGTCAGCTCTGCCATGCAGGAAGGTTTCCCTTCCTCCAACTCCATGGACATCAGAGAGGTTGTACTGGCCAAGTTCTTGTGCAGCAGGTTTGCTCATTTCATAGAATCATAGAATCATTAAGGTTGGAAGAGACCTCCAAGATCATCGAGTCCAACTGTCAACCCAACACCACCATGCCCACTAAACCATGTCCCTAAGCACCTCATCTACACGTCTTTTAAATACCTCCAGGGATGGTGACTCAACCACTGCCCTGGGCAGCCTGGTCCAATGTTTAACCACTCTTTCAGTAAAGAAATTTTTCCTCATGTCCAATCTGAACCTCCCCTGGTACAACTTGAGGCCATTTCCTCTCGTCCTATCGCTTGTTACTTGGGAGAAGAGACCGACACCCACCTCGCTACAGCCTTCTTTCAGGTAGTTGTAGAGAGCAATGAGGTCTCCCCTCAGCCTCCTTTTCTCCAGGCTAAACAACCCCAGTTCCCTCAGCCGCTCCTCATAAGACTTGTTCTCCAGACCCCTCACCAGCCTCGTTGCCCTTCTCTGGACGCGCTCCAGCACCTCGATGTCCTTCTTGTAGTGAGGGGCCCAAAACTGAACACAGTATTCGAGGTGCGGCCTTACCAGTGCCGAGTACAGGGGCACGATCACTTCCCTGCTCCTGCTGGCCACACTATTTCTGATACAGGCCAGGATGCCATTGGCCTTCTTGGCCGCCTGGGCACACTGCCGGCTCATGTTCAGCCGGCTGTCGACCAACACCCCCAGGTCCTTTTCCGCCAGGCAGCTTTCCAGCCACTCTTCCCCAAGCCTGTAGCGCTGCATGGGGTAATTTTATAAATATAAATAAAGCCAATTTGCAATTGGCTGCTTCACTACATCTGAATTGATTACAGTTGTGCAAATCCTTTTTAAAAAATTTTAGAAAGTGGGAGTGCACAGACGGAGGTTGTCAGCAAAAGCTTGTTTTAGCCTCAGTGCCTGAGAATTAATAGCTTGATAGTGTCTTAGATGGGTATTTGTGGGCTGCTGGCAAGGAGGTGAAGTGTTCCCCGCACCCCAGATGGTCCTCCCTAACACCAGTAGACCTGAACACACCTCAGGGTGGCCCTGCTTGAATGGACAGATATCCCCCCCACTTCTTTCTGCTGCTCCCCATCAGTATAAAACACTTGGCTGGGAGGAGACAACCTTTTGCACCCGGGAAGAGGTACCCCTCGGTGTCAGCATCGCAACCCCAGCCCAGATGGCATCAGGGCAGGGACCAGCAGTGACACCGGGCTGCGTGACCGCAGGCTCAGAGGAGTGCCTAGGGCAGGACCCCGCACTGACGCACTCGCTGGAGTAAGAACGACTTGATGCAAAAGGAGAACATTCCCATCCCTGCCGGGATACCTGCCTCCTCCCTTTCTTTGTGGTGCTGTTCTGAATATAAACATCTATCGCCAAAGTCGGACTGGGTTGCACGCAGTCAGGTGTAACACCCCAGACAACTGGCTCCCCAAATAAAATGCTAGAAGAACAGCTACAGCAGAAAAGATGTGCAGAGAGAAAAACCCCAGAACTTCAATTAATTATACTGAAAGTCATTAAATAGGTACGGGTTAAAGGAAAGTGAGAAAAGAGTTCGAGCAGCGAAAGCATCTTGCCCAAGACATCCCAGCCAGCAGGCAGGGCAACCCAGGTTTCCCTCCACCTGGTCTTGCAACCCTTCTTCCCTCCTAGCATTACATTTTGGAAGACGATTTGTAGAGGGAGAAGCCCCAGGTCATGAAGAAGTAACGCATGGCAGCAGTGGGGCAGGAGGAGAAAGCAGAGAGCGAAGAGGAGGAGGCGGAGCGAAACATGCTCTTGCAGGAGAGCACCAGCCCTGACCTAAGGCTCGGTGGAGCCTGGGTGCCCGAGCTTGCGGTTCAGTAACAGGCGGATGCTGTGCCCTGGTCGTGTTCGTCCCCAAGGGAAAGGACTACAGCAAGCAGACTCTTAAAGACCCCTTCTATTAGTCCTCAGCTCCTCTACGTAAAACAGCTCCTCCGCTCCCAAGAGAGAGGACTCCCAAGCTCAGAGACCCCAAGAAAGACCCAAGCTCAAAGACCCCAAGCCTTTGTGGGGGCACAGCGGTGGCTGCAGCAGTGGGAAGTGACCCACCTCCATAGGAAATTGTCACCAGCACCCCCTGCGCAGGGTCCTCGCCAGCCGAGCACAAACCCCTTCTCCTCACTGGCGTTTCCGCACGCGTTGTCAGCAATACAACCGCAGCCTCTGGGAGCCATCTACGAGGTACCCACCACCGACCCCAAAAAATGAGCTAAGAGAAATAACTCCAGGCAAATAACAGAAAACAACAGGGCAAAATGCAAGCACGCTACCTCCATGAGAGCATATCGCAACAGCCCAGCTGGGCTCCTCCACCTAAGCTAAAATAAATTAAAGAACTCAAAGCTAACTTTAATCTAGATGGTATGCAGCGAGGGGTCCTTACCCCCAAAAGCAACTCTGGTATCAGGAGAGGACAGCGGTTTTGCTCTGCCCTTGCCCGGCAGACCCAGCTGAGCCCACCAAGGTAATTTTATGGAGGGGGACCAGAGTTTGCATTCGTGCTCAGCTCCCTGGGGACAAAAGGGGTGGCAGGAGGTGAGCAGCTGGGTCCCTTCTCGCTGTGGCGAGATGGGTTTCGAACAGCAGGGGAAGCGGAGGGAAAGCCGAGGAGCCGGCTGCAGAGCATCAGCGGGTCGCCATCCCGTACAGTTAACCCAGTGAGCACACAGTCACAGCCAGCTCTCCAGAGAGGCTCGGAGGGTCGGACACAGAGTCACGTGCCTACGGACAGGATACACCATCCAGAAACTCAGCCATGATTAGGTTTCTCCTAATTAACTAGAGACTCGGAGGGTGGCAATTTTAAGATGGGGAGAATTCACCCGTTTTGCCAGGACAGAGACTGGTCTGCCGGGAGAAAACGAGGGGTCGGACTCAGCGGTGACCGCAGAGCATTTCTCTCTGCCTGTTTTACGGGGTGCGGGACAGAGCGTCCCCCTGGCACGGGGACCTCTCATCTCACACCGCCAAGCGATGGACATCGCGGTGACAGCTGGATCAGGTATGGATGCTGGCAGCAGAGCGGCTTTGCCACATGGCAGCCAGTCCCTGCGGGTCAGGGGATCCCCTTCCCCATGCTTAAGCCCGCGGTTGCTAAAATTTTCCAAATGTGCCGCCAGCAGAAGAAGGTATTTCGGGATCCGGGGATTAGAGCCACTGATCCTGAAATCCCAGGCCTGGCAAAGCAGTGAGAGGCTGTATTTCCCGGTGCCCGCTGCCACCTCAGCCCCAGGCAGCTTAGCACAGCAAAAAGGTTAAAAATACACAAGCAGAGGCCAAGACGGCTAAAGGGATTGCGGATGACGGAGTCTTTC